TCTGGGATGCTGTCGGTTTCTTCCCACTAGGGTAGCATGAATTAGAGAGCAGGCAACTGGCTTCTCTGCTCCGGGCCAGGATCCGGCCAGTTTTCCTCTTACAGGTTCAAGGTCACAGTGGAGTGCAGTGAAGTTGCCGGGGGTCCATGGCGGGAGGTCTTCGTAACCTCAGCCGAGAGAGTTTGGAGATTTTATCCTGAGGGCACTGGGACCCGCCGAGGGGGGGTTTTAAAGCTCAGCCCTCAGCATGGGCCGTGCACTAGCCAGTGAGGTTGGAGCCGCAGGGAGAGAGGGTGGCAGAATAGTGTCATTGTCCCGGGGAAAGGGATGCGGGCTCTGAGGGCAGCCTGTCTCTTCCTCTGCCTCCAGTCTTCCCTCCCCCTCCCTGGTGGGAGCTGGAGTGGAGTGTTATAATTTAGATGATGACTGTTCTTACCACAGTAAAAGAGAGATTAAGTTCTTAAGAGAATGATGAAAAGAAGGTAGAGGAAGCAGCCACACTGAGAGAGCTCAGAGAAAGGAGTCAGGGCCCTTGGTGGGGGGAGAGGGAGGCGGGCTCTGCCTCCGCCCTGGGCCCAGGTGCCCCGCCCCCTCCATCTCCCGCTGGTTCCATCTGCGTCCTGAGGTCCCAGAGGCAGTTTCAGAAAGCAGGTGCTGCAAGGTCCCTTCCTGTCGGCTCAGAACCTGCTCCAAGCCACCTTCTCCCCATTCTGTTCCTCTAAGCAGGCCCAGGACCAGCCCAGGTTCGAAGGAGTGGAGCAACAGATTTCACCTTGTGATGGGAGGGGACAGTCCCTGTCTCATTGCAAAGGAGTGTGGACAAAGGGAGGCATTTAAAAAAACACACAAGCAGTTTCAGAACCGTGGAATCACCTGACCCCAGCCTTGGCCTTGAGGCTGTTGTCCGTCATTCCTGCTCTAACTTACTGCTAATTACATACGATTCTGCCCTTCTTCAGAAATCTGCCCGGCTGACTCTACCGCAGCCTCCATCAGTGCATGTGCGGTGGTTAAAACAGACCCTTCAGGGGTGCCCTTGCCCCAGGTTGCACACCTGTTGGCATGTGGTGACCTGTGCTGCTTTCCCTGTCCCTGTTACGGGTTCGGGGGCAGAGGTGTAACCAGGTTGCAAGGAACGTGAGGAAGCCTGACCTCAGGGTGGGTCTGCAGAGGCTTGGGAGGTCACGTCCTTCAGTTCGCCTTCCGTGTCCCTGGGGTCTCAGCGTTCCGACGTCTCCTCTGTCCTCCTTTATTGTAACGTTTAGTCACTGTCATGTCAACATACTGCCCTAAAAGCAACACTCCACCATGATCTGACATAGGTTATACGGGCATATTGGAGAATATGCATTTCTCTCCTGCGCTCAGTGTGAATAGATCATTGTCTTCAACTTTTATTCCAGTTAGAAACCTACATTCCAAATGAATAATTACTCTCGTTTTGCTTTTCTAATATCATGTAGGTTGCAAAAATATCTGCCTCTAAGAACTCAGGAGGACTTGCTTGTGGGAGCAAAGGTAGTGAGTCATATCTGCAGGCTGGGAAATGAGAGTTCATTTGAGCCTCCTCATCCAGTCAGGAGGTTTCCTAGGCAACCATTTATGCAGTATTAAAAGATGAGGAACTGAGAGGTATGTACGTGGATGTTTTAATCCTCAGATGCAATCCCCCTTGTCAGATTGAGATCTCAGTGTTCTTTTTTCATTTAAAATAAGTAAATAAAAAGCTTAACACTTAATTGTAGAAAAACGCTATTAATTATGACGTGTGTGTTGTGCTTTATCCTTACCTTCTGAATACTCTTTCTCTGATGGGAATGTTCCTGTACATTAATGCTGGCTCGCTGTGAAGTTATTTGGAAAAGCAGATCATCTTTTCGGGAGCCTGCATGAGTTTGTCCTCATCAGTGGACATTCCAGGATGTGGAGAAGTTTATTAACCGTTTGTTTGTTCTCTCAGTGCTCAAGTTTATACTTATCTGTCCTGGTGCTTTAGTCATTTTCTTCTATCTTAGACGACTGACACATACTGCCTCGTAGGCCGGCCGGCCATGAGTAGGAATGAGGGACCCTTTCCACCAAGTAGACACAGCCAAGGTTCACTGAAGGTTTTCGTCGAACTCTTCCCTCTCATCCTTTTTATATGGGCTTCGGCTTGGATGTCAGCAAGGACATGCCATACATTTCTATCCTGTGAAATACTAACACTCCCAGACTTTGTGTAACATGGACTTGCCTGAAATTCTACTTTAATGAGGAAGGTGGCTTTTTTTCATGCACCAGGGAAAGAGGGGAGTCCTACTAGTTCTCTGACAGACTCGTTGTCAGTGGTGCTAGAAATAATCTGAAAGAACCGGAATATTAAAATATTAGCAGTGCTACTGTTACAGAGGGTTACGTAATGACCTTAGGCCAGGTGATGGGAAGAAATGTGAAACACAAGATGAAATATGGAAAACGGCCAGCTCCCTGCTCTGAGCCCCTGGGGGCTTTAGGAGCATTTGGGGCTTGTAGCCCCAATTATTGGAATTTTCTTTTGAGCGCCCCCATTGACCCCTTCTACCACCAACAACTTTGAGACTCTCCTGCGGACATGCGGCAGATTAAGTGGGTGACTTTGCCGTTCAGTTTTGTCCCCCTCCGCGCGCCCTCCCTCCCCCGCCACTCGCTGATCTAAGGAAGGAATGATGGGAGCAAATCCTGTTCTGGAGCCAAGGTTCTGGATGCTGTTTTCTGTAGGAAAGTGAAAAGTGTTTGATTCTTAGACTCGATGTATGTAAGTGCACTTAATTCTAAAGGAGGCCATTTTGACACCGACAGTTTAGTGATATTGATGGTGCAGTTCTACCCTTAATTCTAACTTGTTTCATTTAATTACATATTTGAAATGCCAGGCTATAATTTATGAACGGTCATAAGTTATTTTTAAACAAGGTGGATTATAAACAGGGTAATACTTTGGTTTTATCATTTTATTTTTGCTAATCCTCAATCCAGGATATCCACCCCCCACCCCCCCCCCCCCACATTGATATTTAGAGAGAGTGGAAGAGAGGGGAGAGAGGGAGAGGGAGAGAGAGAGAGAAAAAACAACAACATCGATATGAGAGTGATTGGTTGCCTCCTGCACAGCCCCCCATCAGGGCAGGGATCCATCCTGCAACCCAGGTACATTCCCTTGACCCAGAATTGAACCTGAGACCCTTTGTGAGGGCCAATGCTCTAACCACTGAGATCAGTGGCCAGGGTGACTTATCATTTTTAATACCTACACTTTTGTGAGATAAAAAATGATTTGTTAATGGACTTGTGATGTGCTCATTCACTGAGTTTCTCCCATTTGCCAGTCACTGTACGAGGCATTGGGGATACAGAGATTAAGATCTTGTCTCTGTTTTAAAGATGCTGACAAGTCCAAAAGGAGAGACAGTCAAATAAATATTGTCATGAGAATAGAAAAAACTTGTGTAATACTTACCATACATGCCAGGCACTGTTCTGAGTGCCTTCTAGACATTAATTTTAACTTGTGAATGGATACAAAAGCCCTGTAGGTTGCTACTATTATTTTCTCTATTTTCCATATGAATAACTTTAGGCCCAGGGAAGCTAAGTGCTTGTCTAAGGTCATAAAGCTTGTTTGGTTGACAAGCAAATGTATTAAGTGCATTAACAGCTGTTCAGGGAGTACTCCGGCAGAATAGGGAGCATCCATCTGGGGAAATGGGGACTAGAAGGGTGGCTATCAATGCCATTTTCCCAAAGGAGACAATACCTGAGCGAGTCTATTCAGAAGAGTAGAAGAGCCATAAAGTACTTATTTAGCAACACAAAATGCTGCATCGTAAGGGGATTCATTGGTTGAATCGGCGACAAGATATTGGGCGACGGGGAGAGTAAAATATATACCAGGTCCCTGAGTCTTTAATATAAAAGACAAGGAAAATAGATTCCCATTTAAAGTCAATCCTTTGGTTCCAGTTGGTGTAAAGTATGATAGAAACTTGGCACTTAAAGATTCTAACAGAAATGATTAAGTTACTTACACTCTGGAAGCATGTGGGTAAACCGTGACCCCTTTGAAAGGTATTAAGGTGAGTTTCCCAATCACTGAAGATGTTATCTTTGGAAACCTGTCGCAATCTATAGAAATAATCTACTGGTATTTATTTTGTTTAAATGGAGGGGAAAGATTTATTTACATCGTTCAGATTAAAAATTGGCAGGAACCTATCAGGTAGGTTAGCTTTATCATTACAGAGATACAAAATTACTCAGAAGTTAGAATTGGTGGTGCCCAACTTCCACAACCCTGTAACAGGAAGGTGCTCTTTCCAGCATCAGCCATGCCCATAACCATCCTTTGCCCCTGTGCAACCATTACCTGCCAGCTTTCTCATTACTCCCACTGCCCACTGACACCTGTTCTCCACCTGACCCACTTCATTGGATGAGCCACTTCCCTGACTGCGTGAGTTTTGGGCTTCTCATCACCTATGACCTTCTCCCCAGCTCCCCACTCCCTAGACCTTGTCTACTCACGGCTCAGATCAGTCAGGCAGAAATTGCCTGTTTGATCTCACCCACCTGTCCCTCCTCCTCATCCCTCAGAGTTATACCCCACCTCTCCTTTGATTTCACCAAGACTGCTTGGTCTGCTGACTCCTTTGCGCTGTACCTACCCATCAGTTCTTTCCTGTCTTCATATCCCTCCAACTGAGACTCCATGGACCAGATTTTAAATCACTCTTTTGCCAAAGTCGTACACATCCTGACCAGGTTGTCCCTTTTCTTGCACCTGGGCTGCTGAGCAGAGTTGGAGAAAATCATACAACTGAGCAAATTGGTACCTGTTTTCATAAGTACGGGGGTTGCCAGCACTGGGCAGTCGTTGCACCATGTTACTTGGATTGCTGTCATTCCGATTGTTCATAGTGACCGTTGCTAAGCTAATTCACTCTTCAAATGTATGATGCTCTCCTCCCCCTTACTCTTGTCAGACGGATTCCTGCAGCAGGGCTCCATCCCACCTGCCACTGAGCCTCCTCTGTCCCCTGGCAACCACCCGATGACCTCCTGGTTTTTCTTCCGTCGCACTGCCTGAGTCATCTTTGCTGGTTTCACCTCTGTCAAACTGACTTTCGTCAAAAGGCAAGTACTGATGTCTGTTTTCTCTTTAAGTGCAGTGAAACGTTTTTTTGCTTCTGTCCTTTACCCGCTGCTGGAGGAAAGCTGGAATTTATTACAGGGTGCCAGGGCCCCCGGCTCTCCCGTGCTGTGCGCGAGCGTGCACGAGCCTCCCTCTGCATCTTAGCTGGATGCTATGCCAACCCGTGCCCAGCAACCATGTTCCTTGCTGCTGAGTCGTTTTGCACTCTGCAGAAATAGTCCCTAGAGGGAAAGGTTTGATTGGCATCTTTCAGATTAGAAGTGGGCAGGAATTTCCCAGATAGATCAGTTTTATTATTACTGTGTTCTAAAGTGGTGCCTTTGCGGATTCTGGGTTCCCTCCTGCCAAGTAAGCCTCAGATGTGCTCAGTTCCATGCCTCCGTGTTCTCACTCGGCGATGCTGGTGGCGGCTTGCTGCCCACTGTCCTGTTGTCCTTGTAAATGCCGCCCCCCCCGCCCCCCCACACACACCTGCTGCCGTGCGAGGCTCTATATTCCTTTCAGGTTTTTTCCCTCTTCTCTCCTTTTGCCACATCTCTTCGGTTGGCTTTCACATAAAAAGATGGATATTTAGTAGATATTATTCACTGACTTATTAACTCTTCTGATCCAGAGCTGGACACTTGGGGATGCCAATTGTGAGAATGACACTCTTCTGGTGAGCATAAGAAACATCAAATGGTTATAGTAATTCCAACACATTATCATACGTACTATTCAAGTCGATACCGAGCATTTCATATACGTAATTTTATATAATCTTTTAAAAATCCTGTAAGATTGTTGATTGTATCCAATACAACAGGGGAGGAAACGGAGGCTCTGAGACGGGAAGGCATTTGCTCGGTCTCTTATACAGCAGGCACACAGTGGGACCACAGTCTCCGTGTGGGCTGCAGAGCTCATGCGCTTCACTGCGGTGAACAGTTTTTCTGCTCCCCCACATCTTTCAGAGGGTGGGCCACAAATAACAGAATTCAAGACATAGAATGGACTATCACATGGACTATTAGCCTCAGTGAGGCGTTGGAGAATTAACTCGGTAATAGTTACGTGATGGGGTGTTTTCATTCCTCCATTGGTGTCAGTGTGATTGCTGGAAGGTGGTATCTTTCTTCTGCCTGAAAATTATGCTGCCTTTATTCAGTTTATAGTGCATTTGTTTGCACCGTGAGTCTCCTGTGTGACATATTCTCACCAAGTGACTGTATTTGCCCCTCTGTTACCTTCTTAAGAGCCAACTTCAAGTTTACACCTTAAAATACTTCACCGTGGGTTTGACATTTTAAGTGCCTTGCATCTGAAAGGGGACGATGGGAACTACTTTCTAGATCACTGGGAATAGTAGTTTAACTTTAATGGCCCGGTTAGGTTATACCTGTCACCGTTAGCTGGGACCCGCACCTCCGCTTTCCCCCGAGGAACAGGCGCTGCTCAGGCCCGCTGGCCTGGCCCTGCCCTGTGGCCCGGCTTCCGTTCTGTTCGGAGAGCTCTGTTTCCCGTGCTCTGCTCATAAGGGTTCCTACCCTCTCCCACTTCGGCTCCTTTTGTTTTTATTGTTTTATTCTAGACAGAATATTCACAGATTATTTTGAGAGACTATTTTGAGAACTGTTTATTTATTCAGTAAATATTTATTAAGCTTTCCTCCCAGCCAGGCACCAGGCACCAGCTGAGGATAGGGCAGGGCACAACACCGCCTCTCTGCCATGTCGAGCGTTTGTTCGGAGCGGGAGGCACCCAGTCAACGTGACCCGGTGCCAGATGATAGGAAACGCTGTGAAGAAAAGTGCAGCTGAGGAAAGGGACAGGGAGAGATGGGAAGGGAAGGGCTTGTGGCTGTTTCGGCTAAGTCATCAGGGCTTTCTGAGCAGGTGAACTTGTGCTGCCAGGACAGAAATACCATAGGCTGGGAGGCTTAACAACAAGACATTTGTTTCTCACAGTCCTGGAGGCTGGAGGTTGAGATCGGGGTGCCAGCACGGGCGGGTCCTTGGTGAGCGCTCTTCCAGGTTTCAGGTGGCCGCCCTCTTGTGTCCTCACACGGAGGGGAGAGACCATCTGTCTCATGTCTCTTCATAAGGGCACTAATCCCAGTAACGAGGGCTCCATGCTCATGACCTAATCGCCCCCAGAGGCTCCACCTCCAAATTCATCACCTTGGGTGTTTGTGCTTTCATATCTAATCCTGGGAGAACACAACATGCAGTCCACAGCACCGAGTGCAGTGCAGAGATTCCCGGCACAGGGAATTGCAACGCGGAGGCCCTGAGCTGAGCCTGCGCTTGGCACGTCCGAGGAACAGCTCTGTGGCCCCCGCGTTGTTGCCGGAGCAGATGGGCAATGGAGAAGAGAGCATTTGGAAGTGAAGTTGGAGGAGGAGCTCAGGGTCCCTGTAAGGCCCTAAACTGGTGGCCAGTTTAGATTTGATTCCCGGGGCGTGGGGAGCCTTTCTGAGCAGGGGAAAGTTGTGTCAGGAGTTTTAATTTTAGATAGACACTTTGGATGCTGGGGGAGGGGGCCGAGGTGGAAGCGTGGTGTGGTCTAGCTGAGGGGAGGGGTTGGTGGCTGAGACATGGTTGGTAGCAGTAGGGGTTGGAAGAGGTGGTTAGATTGGGGACTTTGACAGTGGAGTTGGTACAGTTTGCTAATAGATCATTTGTGGAGTATGAAAGAAAGAAGAGCCAAGGATAATTCCATGATTTTTAGACTGAGCAACCAGGTGAAGGAAGGTGCCATTTCCTGAGATGGGGGAAGAGCAGGATGAGTGGCGTCAGTAGGGGAAGATGTTGGTAGGTGTTCCATGAAATGGATTTTATAGTCAAACTAGTGATCCAGTGCACGGATTCATGCACATTGAAAGGAAATTAATTAGAAGGTGGCCTGAGGGGCAGGACTGGGTGAGATGGGCTGGACACCCCCTGGAGCCAAACTCCTGTGGTCCCTCCCCAGCATCTGTGGAGTGAGCAGGGTCCCTCTGGCAGGTGGGGTCCCTTGGCCTGGCCTGCGGAGATTGGGCAGAAACCGGCTCTCTGACATCCCCCCGGGGTCCCAGAGTGCGAGAGGGCACTCTGCAAAGTTGCTGTCGTATAGGGTGTGGAATGCAAACGCAAGTGTGCAGTAAACCAGATTCTGGGCTGACAGTGCCCCAGCAACAACATAACCCACGGCCGAAGGTGGAATCGTGAGGGCTCCCTCCTCTCTGGTTTCGGGGTGTGTCACCCAAGAACCACTGCTGCCAAATCACTGCATCTAGGCAGCTCTTGTGTTGAGTGTCTGTCCCCTAGTGGTCAGTGAACGTCATAGTGACCAGTTGGATGGTCAGACACTTAGCATATTAGCCTTTTATATATAGCGATTATATATATAGGTATGTTTTGGAGACATGGTTCTAGAGCATGATCTGGACTGCTGGAGTAGACGTGACGGGATATGGGGAGAGGGTTAAAGAAAACCCCTCTGTTTTTATCATCTGTAAAGAAAACTCTGCATCCATTAAGCAGTCACTTTCAGTTTCACCCTCCTCCTAACCTGGCAAGCACCTTAACCTTTTTATGGGGTACAAGAAAGCAGCTTTGATTGTGGGTGAATTTTCACCTTAAGAGGTAAAAATACTATCAGTATTCCCATCAAGGGCTCCTGTATGATGGTGTAATACATTAGAAATGCCAGCTAATTAATTTAGTCCAACCAGTTGTCAGTTTAGTCAAACAATTGGTCTATCATTTCACTTGACAGCACTCATAATGATCGGACTGGTTGTTCAAATAGAGTCAACCACAGTGGCTGGGTGAAGCCAGAGCCATCAAGGATGCATTCAGTTTCCTGAGGAATTTTCTCGCCGCTGTGGACAAGGAATGTGGCAGGTCCCCGCAGTGCTGTAGGCCAGTAGAATGTCCAGGGAGAGCTCCTTAGGGACTAGGGTAGGAAACCGCAGAACAAGATGACAAAATATTGACAGAGAACAACTGGAGAGCAACAGGTTTTACAGTGTCACTCAGCACGGGCAAAGATGACTTTGTTAGGGAAAGGGAGCTAGGTGGGTTGAGAACAGGAAGATGGGGTGAGGGTGCTGGGCCATTGTACTGTGTTTGAGTATTAGAATGTTGCCCCCCCCCCCGACTTCCTACCTTTTTCAAAAATATTTTTTGGGGACTTTTTAAAAAATAGATGTTTATTGATTTTAGGGAGAGGGATAGAGAGATAGAAACATTGATGAGAGAGAGACGTCATCGATCAGCTGCCTCCTGCACGCCTCCCACTTGGGATCAAGCCCACAACCCGGGTATGTGCTCTGATTGGGAATCAAACCGTGACCTCCTGGTTCATGGGCTAATGCTCAATCACTTGGGCACACCGGCTGGGCTTGTTTTTTTTTGTTTTTGTTTTTTTAGGTAAAATTCATATAACATAAAATTGGCCATTTTCAAGGGAACAATTCAATGGCATTTAATATGTTAACCATGTGCAACTACACCTCTGTCTAGTTCCAAACATTTTTATCACCTGAACAGAAAACTCCGCATCCATTAAGCAGCCACTCCCTATTCCCCCTCCTCCTGGCCCTGGCAAGCACCTTAACCTTTTTATGGGGTACAAGAAGGCAACTTTGATTGTGAGTGAATATGCAGGCTGCCTAGCACCAAGGAGGCCTGTTTTGGGGATGCTAGCTTATAGGCATTGTGGAGCCTTTGGGAGATAATCAGGTTTAGATGAGGCGGTGAGGGTGGGGTACTCATGATGGGATTAGTTCTTTGTAAGAAGAGAAAGAGGGCTGGAACTCGTCCCCTCCCCCATATAAGGACACATGGAGAAGACAGCTATCTGCAAGCCAGGAAGGGAGCCCTCACCAGAATTCGACATGCTGGCACCTTGATCTTGGATGTACAGCTCCAGAACTGTAAGAAATGCATTTCTGTTGTTTAAGTCACCTGTCTATGTCTATGGTAATTTGTTAAAGCAGTCTGGTTGACTATAACAGC